ACTACAGGGGCGGCGGCGCGGACAGCCTGCTATATGTCACGTGACCGGGGTCAGCCCCCCTCTGGTCGTCCTGGCAACAGCGAAGACACTAGGAGGATGCAAAAACCCGCGCGCTGCTTCATCATCGCTGTGTGATGACAGACGGCGCCATGATACTCCTCCTATAGAGCACATGGAAACTTATGAAGTTTAATATAGTTAGTTAATTTAAAAAAATACTATTACAAACCACCTTTAAGACAAAAGCAGAGTAAAACAAAACAACAGCAAAACACACTAAACAGCAAACAGGATTAACCTCCTGGCTCATTTGTTGCTGGGCCCTGTTGCCTCCATGTCAGTTTCAAATTTTTTAAAGGTAGGTTACCCAGAGCTGAAATTTGCTGGTCAATTGATTAGTCAATTAACATAAAAATAACTGGCAACAATTCTGAAGAGTGATTAATAGGCCTAAGTCATCAAGGATCGGCTTTGAGTCCCTTCTTGTTTGCTATGGTGATGAACAGGTTGACAGATGAGGTCAGACAGGAATCTCCGTGGACAATGATGTTTGCAGATGACATTGTGATCTGTAGTGAGAGCAGAGAGCAGGTGGAGGAACACCTGGAAAGGTGGAGGTCTGCTCTGGAAAGAAGAGAAATGAAAGTCAGTCGTGGAAAGACAGAATACATATGGCTATATTGGTAGAAGGATGCTGGAGATGGAGCTGCCAGGCAAGAGATCAAGAGGAAGGCCAAAGAGGAGATATATGGATGTGCTAAAAGAGGACATGAAGTTAATTGGTGTGAGAGTAGAGGATGCTGAAGATAGAGTTAGGTGGAAACAGATGATTCACTGTGGCGACCCCTAACGGGAACGGGTTTAGAGGGTAGGTCCAGGTACAACTGAGATTCCAAACCTCTTGGAGTCCCCTTGTGGTCCCCTGGGGGCCCAGAGCAGTTGTGGCTTTGCACAGTTGGTAATCTGATCCCATCTCAGAAAAATAGAATATTTTAAATCCTTTTGAATGATATTTATTTATTTTAATTTTATTCTGCCAATTCAGTTAAATGACTAAATTGTATAAATCTTTTTTAATTATAGCCTACTTTAAAATTGTTATGTATTTGTTTGAATTGACCTCATTTGTAATGTTGGCTTTAACAGCTCCATTAGCCTACTGTATATTTGTTTTATTGCACATTCTATAACCATTTTATAGCTTATGTTTAGCCTAAATGTTTGTTTTTTTTATATTTACATATTAACTTTAATCACTTTTTGGCAAGTAATACTGCTGGGTATTGGTACAAAGGTACTGAATGGTTTATAATCTTTAAAAAGATAACCCACAAGAGTGAAATAAAGGGAATATCAGGCAGAAGAATCCTTTCAGTGCAAAAATAGGCAATTAGTTTGACTAATTCTTTGGCAAGGATAATATGTTATAAACAGGGTACATTACATGTATCTTAAAATTGTACATTAGCCTAATGAATAATAGGAGACTATTTAGTATTACAACTGTCTGCTTGAAATAACCTTTAGCAGCCACCTAATGAGCTCCGCTTCTCTGACATACCCAGGAATACGAGAAAATCTGATGAGTATAGCTGCTCATTAACTGGTTTCCATAAGGTCTCCTGTGCTGGTGCAAAAGAAAACCCGAGCATATTCTGTGTATTATGTCCCGCCTTCTTTAGATCTTCATCTTTGATTGGATTAGATCGCGTCAACCATGTTTGTAGCAGGTTAGGTTGCAGTGTCATGGCTGTTGATTCATCTGTGAGAAGTCAACCCCCAGCAGGTCTGATAACGGGTAAGCACGGAGAGCCATTAGCGGATGTTCTTAAGCTATTTAATGCGATTAGTTACACTTGAAAGGTAGCGAACTGTTGAGAATGGGAATGAATTTTAGATTTTGGTTGTTAAAAATATGAAGTACAACGTTATTTCGCTGACAGATGTCTGTTTTATAGCGCTGGTATCATGCAAATTGATTCTGGATAACTCGTGAGCAACAGGAATGGAGCCACTTACTCGTAAATTAAATGAAGACCAGCCTCATTCTTATCAGTTTTCATAGTTACTAGAAGGTCTGGGTGTGTCATGTCATGGTGTAAAATTGATAACAACGCACGTGTAAGGCTAGCTTACTTACACAGGAAGTGGACAGTGCATGTTAACCCAGCTGACTGTCCGATAATTGAAACTTTCAGCAGTCACAATTCAGACACATTTCTGTCCCCGTTTTTTTAATCAGTTAGAACTGATAAAGACTGGTTTTGGTTTTACTTCTGTTTTCTCTCAGGTAACAATGCAGTTCCTAGGGCGGTTTTTGGACACAGTCTCCACTGTGTCAGCCCTCTTCACCAAACCATACCGGGTCCGGGACGTGCCGCTGTCTGACTATGATGGAAGAGGCAAAGTCAAGCTGAAAGAGGAAGGACGCCTGGTCCTGTACAGAAACGTCCAGAACCCGTCATGGGACTGTCTGCTTATGTGTCCTGAGACGCCAGCTATGGCTCTGAGGTCAGTGCTGATTACATCATGGAGAAGAAGAGTATTTCACCTTTGACCTACACTGATACTCAACAAGTCAGTTTAACAAAAGCTTGAATTAATCAGTATTTAGGGGTCATTTAGGTGTAACTCTGAAAAGCAGGCTTAAATTGTGTGAACCTAAGACAGTTTCACAGTTTATGAGAACTGAAACCAAATGCTAAAAGTGTCACAGGAAGTTGTCCTAAATAGAGATGAGCTACTAAATACTGACTTAGTATGATGCCCAAGCTTTTGTACAAGTCACAATTACAATTTAAATTTCTTCTTGCTTTTTGCTCATCAATTAAAAAGTGATATGTGCATTAACGATTGCAGAAAGGGCTTATTTATAATATTTGTTTATTGCTGGGGCTGTATTTTCTTCTTTTTGCATTAAAATTCACCAAACTATGCAATTTGCACAAAGGTTTGTGCATAACTGTAGTTGCCTATAATATTTATCCTATGCTATTATCACATTCCCAGCACCCACTCAGATTCCCTCAAAACTTTGTTCTTCCTGAACCAGACTGTTTCAGGTGACATCAGAGGAGGATGCCATGAACTGGTTCCCGCAGTATGCCCTCAAGCTTCGCCCTTTCTATGAGACACTTCCTCTGAAGGCTGAGAACACCCAGGCAATCGTGGACTGTATCCGCAGCCACCCAGACTGGAGCTCCGGCCACATCGCTGTGGAAAAAGGCCTGAGAATGTGTCTTAAACATAACTATGTCCAGAGGTAAGAAATGGTGCTGACTTTTACTCAGTTTGCTTTGGATTTTGTGATTCTGACAAACACTGCAAGTCATGACTTTTCTCTTTATCAGTTATTCTTCATCTAGTCTGTGAGATGACAAAAAAATATTGTAAAATGGTCATTGTTGTTTTCTACAGCCCAAAATAATGTCTTCATATCCGTTGTACTAAAAGCTTAACAGCGATTCAGTTTGGACTGTATTTAAAATTATCAGTACACATTTCACTGTGCATTGTTAACTTGACAATGATATAAAATATGGTGAAGTAGGATCTCCTTCACACCTGAGAAAGTATATCCAGTAAATTAATAATAATGAATTGTTTCTGGTTCAACACAGGTTGGCCTATGGATAAGTGCATCAGTACACTGTGTATACATTAAGAAAAGATTAATCATTCTACAGAAGCATTCATTGTAGGGCAGTCTGTATGAGAGGCAACAAACAGGCCAGCTTTCATGCTGTACCAATATGATTAGAAAGTGACTGATGTCTGGAAGGAAGGAAATTGTTTTAAAAATCATCTTGAAAGAAATAGTTCAGTCACTAAAACGCTGTCTGTATAATCCTTCATTGTGTGCAGCTGCATGAACTTTAGATCCTCACAACATGAAAACAAAGGATCAATAATCCCTAACACTCTCTACCCATATATATGATATCTGCCCGTCATCGTTCTGTCTGCAGTCAGATCAATGCTCGTGACGCATCAGGTCAGACACCGCTGCATCTGGCATGTGAGCGTGGTGACACAGTGTGCGTGAAAGAGCTGTTGGAGGAAAGCCAGGCTCGCACTGACATCAAAAACCACAATGGAGAGACACCCATGCACTGCGCCGCCAAGCAGGATTCGCCTGCTCTCATCCAGGTGAGACTCAACAGGAGGGAGGTGTCAGTGTCCTATAGGTGGCGCTGTAACCGTGTTGCATTTTCTGAAGTTTCCCCACTGTGGGATCAATAAAGTTCTACCTACCTTTTATTAGGTCAGCAAGTTTAACATTTCACTACATCATGAAATCAGGTGAGGTGGAAAATAATCCACCAATCTCCATCCGCCTGATCACACTTTAGTAATGATTTTATCACCATATTTCATTGTCTTGAAAAGATTATTAACCAGCTACCTCCTGTAAACTGCATATAAACATTTTTCCTCCTTCCACTTTCCTCCACCACGTTTGCCTCCATCACTTCGTCTTCTCATTCAGATCCTGTGCTCACGGTTGTGCACGGGGGTGAACGAGTTGAACAATGCTGGGGAGACACCGCTGCACATTGCCTGCCGTCTGGGACGCATGGGGGCCGTCAGAGGTCTGCTGGACGGTGGGGCCAAGTGTGATGTCATTGGTGGCGCCGGCTACCCCATCCACAGTGCAATGAAGTACAGTGAGAAGGGGTGAGCCGGGGAAAGGATGAGTAGGGAAGCTGTACTGAGGAAACGGTATTTTCTATTCAGCATTACAAGTTGCTTTCTTTGTGTTTGTTTGTGTCTGTCAGCTGTGTGGAGGAGATCCTCAGAGCAGATCCAGAGCAGCTACGGGCTGAGGACGCTTTGTATGGAGGGACGCCTCTCCACTGGGCCAAAACTGCTGAGGTGAGGGCTTTGTGACTGGCATCTAATATTAAGTCACCATGAAATTTGTTTAGAAAAAAATGGAAATCTTGCTGTCTCTGTGTCAGATGTGTCGGACACTGCTGGAGCAAGGCTGCTCAGTGAACTACCTCAGTAAAACGGGGGAGAGCGCCCTCCACATTCTGACCAAGAGGGGCCGCTTTGAGGCGGCCATGGTGCTGCTCACCCACGGAGCGGATGCTAATCTGAAGGGGCAGGATGGGAACACAGCCCTGCACCTAGCTATGAAGGTACGGGATGCATTGTTGGTCTTATCACAGTGTTGGCATGAGAAGAAAAACACTAAAATATTACAGGAGTTCTGGTCAGTTTGGAAATTAGGTTGCATCACATATAAAGTGCACCATTTGTGTGACTCTGTTCTTTAGATGGACCACATAGACATGATCAAAGCTCTGATTGTCTTCGGAGCTGATGTGGAGATTCACAACGACCTGGGAGAATCACCTGGACTCATTGCAGCACGCAGCAGCAAAGGTAAGAGATGGAGAAGGGATGGGAAGACAGGTTTAAACTGGGAGGAGGAGAGATGAAGGGTAATGGGGCAAGGAGGACAAATTAAAGGAACAGATAGAGGAGGCAAATAAGGAATGATGGGGTAATGGAACTTAATTTGCTTTACCTAACCAAAGAGTTTGAACCATACTAAGGCTTAACATGTAGTCTCACTTAACCGCACATGTTCCACTGTAGATGATAAAGTGTCTGCATGAACAGCTGGGTATATGAGTGAATCTGAAAATGTAGAACATTACAAACCAAGCCATGTTTCTGTATATTTAATACTGTTGTACAGCTCCTGCAACTAATACAATTTGTTGTGACTGTTTCATCTTGCCGGCCTTTTGAAAGGTGCAAAAGTAGGACTTTACTCCCAGATAAGATGTTAATGATTCCCAGAAAGTAAATTTCACATTACAGCACAAGCAATAGATAAAGAGCTGTACAGTATAAACACAAACACACTAACTGGTCTCTTAATTAGGGTGTAGAACAAAAACTTAATTGTTAAAAGTGTTGCCATTACTTTTTCCACCATCACCTTTTATGTTTAATGGGTATGTTAAGTAAAGACAGATGCTGTTTGTGATTTATTAGCTTAGAAATATTGTTTATATTGTAAACCAGATCACATTTCATGACCAATTTATGCAGAAAACCAGGAAACTGTAAACAATGCCATTACTTTTTTTGCAGCTGTATTCTGCACCCTTTAAAAAGAACTGCTTTGTAAATGGTAAAATAATTTCAGGTTTTACTTCTTATAGAAATAAAAAATTTGAACATAATTACTCCAGATTTTCTGTTTCTGTTGATACAAGATAATCCTGAGCTTATTTGCTGTTGGCACAGAGACGGTTGTGTATGAAAGTACCCATGTGATGCTCTGAAGCAGAAATGGTGGTAAATTGAGGTTGCTGTTATTTATTAATGTTGAAAGTGCATGATGATTACTAACAGCGTGCTTATGTTCTGGCTCTCTCTCTCTCCAATCTTTTTCTCTCTTTGTCCTCATTGCTTGTTGTGTGTGTGTGTGTGTGTGCGCGCATGTCTAACATGCTGGCTGGCTTGTGTGTTTTGTGTTAACATGAAAGGTGCTAATAGAAAGATACTGCTGGACATGCTGTGTAGTGTAGGGGTCCAGAGGTGCCTCCCCCCCTCTCCCAGCAGTGCTCCTCTCATCTTAAACAACGCCAGGCCTCCAGGCATAGGTAACACCACCTTCCCTCACATCTGATGTCCTCTCTCTGGTTCAGTCTTTATTCAGTTTAAAGGTCTCCTGGCCTTTGAGTCATGAAGGAACCATATGCACTCGGGAACTTTTCTATTTTCCAGAATGACCTTTTTATACGTGCATTATATTTACACTCCACTGCAACATGTGTTTATGCTACTTACAAATCAGCTTTGATCCTAAAATACCAAAATCCAAACATAAAGATGGTTTCTTTCTTATTCCAAAGAGTTTACTCACTGTAATATGACAGGAATTTAGCTCAGATGCAGGAAATCTTTACGTTGTGATTGATCTTATTGATCTTATTCTTTTCCTTTTCTGTCATTTTCCATCTTATTGATCTTATTCTTTTCCTTTTTTATCCTTTTCTATGAATACTGATGCTGAGTGTTAGTATCATACAAACAGCTGTTGTTTGATCGACAGGATTTGATGACATCATGCATGTCGGTGCTGCATTCGGTGCAATGAGCAGAGGCACAACTGATGTGGACGGCCCCACTGGGGTGAAAAAGAAGTAAGTAAATCACTGCATGAACATCAAAAGTAGAGGAGGAGGGTTAACTTTTCACATCCCACATTAATATTTTACTTAATTCATCTCATTTCATTTATTGTAAACAATATATTCAGTATTGAATTAAATAAAGGATTTAGATTAAAAGAGTGTCCTGTGCATTTTGCCCTGTGCATCAAACAACAGTCCGGTTGCATTTTCTAAATCAACTAGTGGTTAGCACAGGTAAGACCAGTGTGACAATAAACATCACGCTGTAGCATTATCTAATCTCATTTACAATTCATTTGTATTGGAATGTGGGGAGGCTGTAGCTGACAGCAGACATAGAGCTCACACTGTAATACCTATTTACATGTCAGATTCCATGTTTTCCATTCTTTCATATTTGCTATAAGCATAGCAGTTTGAGATGAATTGGGGGATTTAAAGAGAATATGAAAGTTACAGAGGGTCTTTTTTGTGAAATCTAATCTAGGATTTACCTCCTCATCTCAATAATTTGTGTACTTTTCTTAAGAAACATGAATGAAGGAATGCTGTTTGTATTTTCATATAAATATAGCACTTTTGGAGACTCAGGTATGAAAATGTGATTATATGTCTGAATTTTTTTTCTCTCCTCTACCTCAGAATGGACAGACTGCTGTGTCTGGATGGTGGAGGTATAAGAGGCCTGGTGCTGATCCAGATGCTCATCTCTCTGGAGAAAGAGGCTGGTCGGCCCATCCGAGAGCTCTTTGACTGGGTGGCCGGCACTAGCACCGGGGGCATCCTGGCCCTTGCTGTAGTCCATGGTGTGTGTGTTTGATCCCCTTTCCCTAGTTTTTATAGGGTAGCAGTTAAAGAATAATGATGTTTCTTCACTGTGTAGGAAAGTCCACGGAGTATCTGCGCTGCCTGTACTTCAGGATGAAGGAGCAGGTGTTCAGAGGATCACGGCCCTATGAATCGGCACCACTAGAGGACTTCCTGAAGAAAGAGTTTGGCGAGCACACCAAAATGACAGATGTCCAGTACCCCAGGTAACTGTTCACATCAAAATGACCAAGGCTATGTGTCCACTAGTGAATAGGCAGAAAAGTGTCCACAGTACACTAAAGAAAATATGCAAATATACAGTGTTTGCTCATAAAAACCTTCCTGGAAAACTCTGTGTTCAGCCAGTTATTCACATAAATTTGATTTTCTTTGTTTCCCATGATAATTGTAAGGGAAAACAATATCAACCCGTTTTAAATATCTTACTGCTTCGTTGTCACTGATAGGTTAGAGAAAAATGACTGTCAGGTATAGCACACATGAAAATATGAGCTGATTTTTTACCCGAGTGCTTGACTAGGGTGCCCCAATCAGTGCTATAGAAAAACAACAGCTTGCTAAGAAATATCAGCAAGTGCCCTGAAACCACTGATGTAAAACATAAAATGATGAAAATGAACAAAAGGTATTTGTGTGTGTACAGGGTGATGGTGACAAGTGTTCTTGCAGACAGACATCCAGGCGAGCTGCACATCTTTAGGAACTACAGCCCTCCCTCCATCCACAGAGAGCCCTCATATACCACCACTGCCACATTCCAGCCCCTCACCATCCCACAAGGTACTTCAACAACTGCTAACTGTTTTTGTTGGCCTGCTGCACTAACTGCAGGGATAATGATGAGCACTGACCCAGAGCTACCACTGGGAGGCATCAAAGCAAGCACTTTTCAATCCTGCATGTAATGGTGTCACATTCAGCCATTCAGTTATTAATAAATTCATTAAGAAATGCTGGGGGTGAGTATAAAACCTCCACCCGAGTTTGTGTGCCACTGTATTCATGAATGTGTCCAGTTGTGCTGTGTTGTGTGAGTGCTAGCCATGTCGTTGTTACAGGATGGGAGGATGAGGATGTGTTGATGATAGGATACACAGAGGAGCCTGCCAGAAAGCGTAGAAGGGTGACAGATGAAGGTGTGTGCATGTATGTGTATGTGTGTGTGTGTGTGTGGAGGGTATCTGCAGGTCTGTTGTAAACATGTATTTGTTAAGGGTTATTTGTAGTCTTCAAATGTACCCAAACTCAAAGTGTCAGATTTTTACCTCATACCCCTTCTGTATCCTTGTTGTTATATCAGAACAGCTTGTGTGGCGAGCTGCCCGCTCCAGCGGTGCTGCTCCCACCTACTTCCGACCAATGGGCCGCTTTCTGGATGGAGGGCTGCTGGCCAACAACCCGACACTGGATGCCATGGCGGAAATCCACCAGTACAACAAAGTTTTAAAAGCAGAGGTAGGCAATTTGCCAACTACAGTGTATTTTTATGAATTTACAAATTATTTAGTTTTAAATTAGATTATTTATTTAATCTGCCTTCTCTCTTTTTTTTAACTCCTAACCCTCCTCCCTCTCAGGGCCGTGGGAAAGAGATCAAGAAGTTGGGCATAGTGGCCTCCCTTGGTACAGGTCAGTCACTTGATCGTGCCAAAACATAACAAATGATGTATTATTGAAAGTAAATTTAACTGTGACTGTTGTGAGAGGTGGTTTAAACTAAAGCTCCCCACAAACAACACACCCTTCCACATGCTCTTCTGTACTTCTGTCCTTTACATTTCTGAATCTCTCCCCATGTTACGTCTCAGTGCAGCCTTCGCTAGCTAACGTATACTGTAGCATGTGATAAAACCTGTTTATTCAGTGTGAATGAGATCCTTAACTTGTAATATGTTACTTTGCTCAACTCGTAGAGCTTCACAGGAACATTTGCAGCAACTAACTTGAGATCACCGTCTCTGGGCGAAGTCCTCATATCTGTACACTTGTATCTTATCTGTGCTACTGTGTGTGTCTCCAGGTAAACCTCCTCAGGTGGTGGTGAACTCTGTGGATGTTTTCCGGCCCTCCAACCCTCTGGAGCTGGCCAAGAGCTTTGTAGGAGCAAAGGAGCTGGGCAAGATGCTGGTGGACTGCGTGAGTACAGCAGCACACGAAAACCAACAACGAAATCATTTCCATGTCGCTCTAATTATAAAAATCTGTCTCTGTGATTGGACAGTGTACAGACTCTGATGGCTGTGCAGTGGACCGAGCCAGAGCCTGGTGTGAAATGACGGACACCATCTATCACAGGTCAGCTGATGGATGTGCTGCTGCCTCCTCTCAGTCAAACAGCCCTCATCCCTTTACTGGACTAAACATCTTTATCACACTGTCTTTTGCCCACTTCTTTTTGCTTCTCATA